TGTAGTAAAGTGGTAAAGGCCAAATATTTTCTAGCTAGAGTTTCTTAAGCCTTTCCACTCGCAAACCCTTTCAGCCTGAGAAATATTTATGTGACCCCAAGTATATAAGCATATAAAAGGGGTATAAAATCAAACATTTACTGATTACAAACCAGCATTTGAAAGGCTTGCTAAACAAGTTGATTTTCTCTTTATGAAGTGTAGCTGGAGCATCTTGTGTAGAGTCCACGGGAAACACTGCAATACAGATTCATGCCATTGCCTAAAACAACCACTAGGTGATATTCAAAAACCTTTTATTGTTGCAATCTTTTTCAGAACCCCAACATTGAACTAAGGTGACCCCATTTAGGGTCCGAACCTACAGTTTAAGAAGCAGTGTTCTAGGGTAGGTGTAGGCAGATGTGTGTGTGGGTGTGTGGGAGTGCTAGATGATGCCAAAACAACAACTACTACTACAACAGGAAATGGACTTTGAGATGTAGTTTTGAAAAGAAATGTAATTGTTTACCATATTCTATAACCCATATAAAAGTGATCTATCCCCTTTTGAGATCTTCAGAAGAGGCAGTTCATACTCCTTTTAACAGGAAATGGGCAGGCTGGGAAACCCGAAATAAGCTGGCAGTAGTCATGTTATAGCTCTTAGACTATACTTTGTCCACCCATGTTCTAAGGTTTGATTGAAACTGGATCCTATTGCGAAAAACAACTACAGTAGATGCTGAATCTAGGTTTAAGAAGCTCCACCCTAGAATATATTTGTGTTTGATCACTATCCAAGAATTCATTCCATTTGTTCTGGTTAGTACTGTGTATACCTAGCTATTTATGTGTTTGTGCCTTTAAATCATCCAATGATTTATGGTGAGACCATGCATTTCATAGAGTTTTCCTCCTGTAGGACTTATGTCTAAATTTAGATATCTAGTTGCAGCAACCCTATGTAGATCATAATCCAAAAAGCTGTGAACATTGATCACAAAATCGTAGAAATGGGTGTACAATTGTTGCACGTGTGAAGTGTACATGTCTTATCTAATAGGTTGTGCATTTCAGCTGAACCTTGATTGATTTCTCCTGGCTGCATACTGGTAGACGCCCATATCTGTTTTCACATGACTCCCGAAAATGGGTGGGTAGACAGATAGCCGTTTTTGGTCCGTAGCCAAAACCTGTGGCTAAATCTGGCCTATTGGCAGCAATTGGGAACTTACATGGCTCTCCTTTCCATTCCTTCAAGCCTTTCCTTTTTTAATTCAAGGGAGCCTGGGTGTCAGCAACAGGGTTAAGAAAGCACCCTTTCTGGGACCCTTTCCTTTCTTTCCTTCAAGGGGGTCTGGGCATCAGCAACAGGGTTAAAAAAGCACCTTTTCCTGGGACCTTTTCCTTTTTTCCTTCAAGGGAGCCTGGGTGTCAGCAACAGAGTTAAGAAATACCCTATTCATCCCATTATGAGCAGGACTTCCAACAGACTCCCATTCCATATCCTTTATTAAGACCTGGATTAAAAGAATTAGAGCTGAGGTAACACTCTTTCTGCAATCCTTTCCCTTTTGTCTGTAGAGGAGACCAGGTTTAATGTTTCATTAAAACTGTTTCTTTCTACTCTAGAGGAGACAGGTTGCAGGTGCTCTTTCCCTGCACTTAGTTTTTCAAGGCATTTAAGGAGGCTTCTCATTTCCCAGAGATAGCTCAACCTGGAGCTATCTCCCTGGGATTCCTTAAAAACAACCATCTTTTTGCTCTACTGCAGCCCCTGTCTGAAGTGGGCAGGATTCAATCTCCAGGTTTAATGCTTCCTTAAAGTTGTTTCTGCTTTCTACTGTAAAGAAGAGGGAACTAGGTGATGGTGGTTTTCAGAGAATGAGGGTTTCTTTTTGTTTGCTGGGATTAATAATAATAATTGTTATTTTTAGAAGTATTTGAAGGAGAGTGAAGGAGGAAAAAAGCTAAAAGGGTGACTCTCCCCAAACTACCTGTCCCCTCACGTCCCAACTCCCAGGCAGTCCCACTAAATAAAAAGACTTAAGAAAATAAAGGAAAAGCAAAACAATTAAAAATGCAATGCTGAATAGGGAAGGAGGAGCCATAATCAGCTGACGAGGTTGTGTTTTAGACGGGAATCCATGATGGCTGGTCCCTTGCTGTTATGGGCACATGAACAAACTGAAGAAGCCAGATTGGCCGAAGAAAATGGCTAAAAATTGATCCGGGCTCAAACCTATTATCTAATGTAGGGGTGTCATGAGAGGAACAGATGACTAACTTGCAGTTTGATTTCCCCCCTCCAATTTTGAAGTATTTGACATAAACAGAGGTAGGTGATGCCATGACATGCAGTAAATTATTTGAATCTATAAAAATAAAAGAAATTTGTGTCACACCTCAAGAATTAGACAAGTATCACTATAGCCAATATTTAAACTGTCATTTAACAGCTAAATATAGGAACTGTTAAATTTGAAAGTTTCATAACAAATACACAGAGTGCTAGCTAAAATATCCAAAGGGAAATCTGCCCATAGAGTAAGTATCATCCAACAACCACATGCAAAAAAAGAAAAAAAAGGTTGGGCTCACAAGGATAAAATTCTTTAATCTCCAACCTAATTTGACTGAAATGAGTTCTGACTATACCGTAACAAGCAATGTAACTCATGCATTCCTTCTGGAAAATGAAAGAAAGATTTGCCAATAATAGTTCTTTCACAAGAAAATGGTGCAGAATTAACTTTTTAACTTTTGTATGTGATGTAAGCCAACATAATGAGAACATGATGAACAAGGAGACATCTCTCAATTATTTTGTTTCTTTTGAGGAAGTTAGTTTTAGAATTTATTTAGTTTTAGAATTATCTGCTTTGACAATCTGGATTATATGGCAGTGTAGAAGGGGTCTTAGTTGCTAGTCCTGTAATTGGCACTCTATGCCTCAGAAGTCAGGTTCACTTTAGTTGGATCATACACACATTTTGACAGAGAAAAAAGAGAGGGAGAGGAAATAGGTTTACCAGTAAGCTCAAGATTGTTTGTGGTGTGTGTGTGTGGGGGGGGGGGGGGGGGGGGTGGGATTGGAGCTACCATGACATTGCAACATCCATTGTGCCTGATGTACCATGGTGCCAATACTCAGTAGGCAGGCCTGTAGCGAGGGGGTGGTTTTAGGGGTTCAACCCCCCCCCCGAAATGTTTCAGATTTAAAAAAAAACCTGGTTTACTCATGAATTTTAACTGGTTAACCAAATCCCCATGCTAAGTCTATGAGATGCAAAAAATTAAGAGTCCCTCCAGAACTGCAAGCACTATCTCAAGCAAATATTGACAATTTATTCACACTGTCATTACTTGCAGCAATAGCCGATGTAGTGAAGCAACCAAGTTGGGGGTGTGTGTGTTGAATGCTCTCATTAAGGAGGCCAGACTTGGTGGAGGTGGTTGACAGGGGTGGAGCTGCAGGCTATTGAAGGCTGCTCTGCCCCCTGCTGTGCTCTTTGCTTCAGCGTGAGCTAGGAGGCAGGTTTCAACCCCCACCCCCCCACCCCCGAAATTTTCAACCCCTCCCGAATTTTTTTTCTGGCTACGGCCCTGTCAGTAGGAACGGATGTATGTTACAGTAGGTTGTTGTAGGTTTTTTTGGGCTATATGGCCATGTTCTAAAGGCATTTTCTCCTGACGTTTCGCCTGCATCTATGGCAAGCATCCTCAGAGGTAGTGAGGTCTGTTGGAACTAGGAAAAACCTGACTTCTGAGGCATAGAGTGCCAATTACAGGACTAGCAACTAAGACCCCTTCTACACTGCCATATAATTCAGATTGTCAAAGCAGATAATTCTAAAATTAACCCTTTTTCCTAGTTCCAACAGACCTCACTACCTCTGAGGATGCTTGCCATAGATGCAGGTGAAACGTCAGGAGAAAATGCCTTTAGAACATGGCCATATAGCCCAAAAAAACCTACAACAACCCAGTGATTCCGGCCATGAAAGTCTTCGACAATATGTTACAGTGCTCCCTGATGTGTTTCCATTCACTGGGTAGGATGTGCAGATTTTTAAAAAATGTCCAGTGTGCATCAGGAGTGCCCAATGTACATCTTCATACTTTACCATCAGGGATTTGTTGTGTTTCTAAAATGTTATTATGGATTCATAAAGTCACAGAATGTAGACTGTGAAGTTGGATTTCAGTCTTTGTTTCTTAAAGTCTGCTTTTTATGAACCTTTACTGTGAACCACCCTGATATCCAAATTCAGTCAATCAATCTTGATATATTTTGCTGAATAGTGTGAACCAGTTGAAACTCCTGAATTAAAAAATTAATTTACCTATAATTAAGAGTATAGATTTCTCAGCCACAAGAGGTTTGAGATGTATGCATAACACACCCACAAACAAGATCATCCTTATCATTTTGATCAGGAACAGGCAGAGTGCACCCTTCCAGATTTTAAGTAGTCACTCCCAGCACTCCTTGTCATCAGTTATGCTGATTGGAGTTGCAGTCAATATTTGGATGACCCTACTTCACCAGTCCAGATACTGATAAAGCCAAGTTTGTGCTTCAATTTCTGTTCTACATGCAAACAGTCATGCAGACAGGCCTCTGCCTTGCAACAAGTCTTTAAAGGAACTGTCACAGGTCATATTCCTTTACCGTTCTTTATTTAAGTAGTCAATTTTTATATGGGACAAGCTGTTAAATTTTTATTTGCTTTGGGTTTTATTTCTATTTTATGTTCTTTATCATCAACACAATTCTCCAGCATCACTCCTGTTTTAGAAGCCTTTCCTTCTTTTTGAATAGGGGGCTGGAAACAGGAGAGGCTGCCTGAAATGAATTTTCTACTAAAGAGAGATTTCATCCCAGTTGTATATACAGTGCTCTTTCTCAATGGGTATCATTAGTTTGTGCATTTATAAAATGCCATATGCCATCATCTCCCCAAGTAATTTCTTCTCACATTTTTATTATGGCTCTATCTCGATTATCTTTTCAGGTCTCTCTTGGACTTTTACATGCCCGAGCTACGCATATACTCTGGCCTCCGGAGCGTTGGCAGAAGTTACATCCCCAGCTTCCTCCAAAACGCCAACCACTCCAGGATGAGGAGGAATGATCAATTTGTATCTGGATGGAAATCAAGCTTTTGAGTCTAGTATTAAGTATAGGAAAGAGGTTGGCAACGCATATCAGCTAATGAAAGAGCTGCCAACTGTGCAGAATCGATGCAAGCAAATATCTTTTCATTATTGTAAATTAAAATGGGCATTTTATGTAATCACATGAAATGGTACAATGTGAAGCAACTGTGTCTTGATTTTGACATTTCCGCTTCATAGAAGCTGTATGGTGCTTAAGAATATTATAGTACCTCTAATGATATGGGAAGTTTAGAAAAATCATTTTACATGTTTTAATTTGTTTGTTTTTTTAGTAATAGGACAAATCTTAACATTTGTATTGTATTGCAAAAAATAAACAATAAAATAATTCACTGTTATTGCCAAGACAGAATATGTCTTTTAACACTCTGGGTGGCAGAATAATTGTTTGTATTGAATGAATAGTCTTTTTAGTCCTGGAAAATTTGTTGTTCAATCTATCTATAAAAGTAATGTTTGAAAAAAGGAGCTTTCATTACATGATTTTTATTACTTGTATATTATTAATGTCATAATTATATTGAATATGAATTTGTTTTTCATTAATGTTTCATATAAATATTCCTGATGTATCCAGTTGCTGATAGAATAAATACATTTCCAATTGAAATATACTCAGAGTATGTCTGTAATAGACACTTTAATCAGTGGTGAAGTATAATCATAGTTGATAATAATTGCTCTATTTCTTTGAGGATATCTGAAGAGCTTCTTTAATTCTATAAATACTTTTCTTTAGACACCAAATGAAACTGCATCTGTTAATATTGCAAAGAACAACAAAAAAGATCAGACACATTTACATCTGATTGGCCTGTGTTTCATTGAATTTGGAAGACATGTTGTTGTGTGCTTTCAAGTTCTTTCTGACTTATGGTGACCCTAAGGAGACCCTATCATGAGGTTTCCTAGGTAGGGTTGTTCAGAGGGGTTTGTCCTTGCCTTCTTCTGAGGCTGAAAGAGTGTGCCTTGTCCAAGGTCACTCAGTAGATTCCCTTGGCCCAGTGGGGAGTCCTAGTCCAAAACTTAAACAATTATACCCATTGCCATACACATTGCCTGAGTAAAAGTTCACAAGGCATTTTGCTGCATTGTATGTTCCTATTTAAAATAAGCCACATTATATGCAAATGGAGTGACTCAGAAATAAGTCTGTAACTAAAGAAGGAAGTACAATTGTACAAAGGACTGAAGCCTTATTTTCAGTGCATGTGTTGTTGTTCTTAATTTTATTTATACCCCATCTTTTCCTCAAAACAGGGACCCAAGATAGTTTATAAATCAAAACATTTATGTAGACACCTTGTAGATAGATCATATATATACAGTGATATATATATATATATATATATATATATATATATATATATATATATATATGGGGTGCTCAATTTTTTCACTGTAAATTCGTACTTACATGATATCTGGCGTGTGGGTGTGGCCTGTGCCAAAAACTTAAGTATCGGAACTTACCCAATACTTTTTCATTTTTAATTTTGTAAATCTCAGAAATCCTCAAAGTCATTTCATTTTCAGTGCAAGGAAGCAAAGCAAAGCAAAAAAAAGTCTTGCTTTCCTCTTTAAATCAATGGCCTCTCACTAATAGGAGAGGAAAGCAGCAGAGAGAAAGCAAAGCTAGCTGGGGAAGAGACTGAGAAAGCACACAATTCTGGGAAATGTAGTTTGGGAAGGCAAAGAGCCCTATGCTAGAGAATTCAAAACCCCTGCCCTAAACTACATTCCCCAGAGTCTGCTCAGCATCAGAAAGCTCCAATCAGGATAGGGGAGTGATCTGTCCCTCTGTAGTAGCAGCCAAGCAATGGGACATTGCATGAAGTATCATTTCATGCTTCATTGTTATTCATATGTGATTCCTAACATGCTACACTGTCTTAAGCTATAAAAGTATCTCGTGGCTTTTGATAGTGCCAAAAAATAAGTTACTTTACAATGGAAGTATATCCTGGTGCTTTATATAGGAAGACAATCTAGTAGATTTTAACATTCATTACTATATCAATAAGAATCCCAGTTATTAATGTTGTCTCACAGATACCAAACTTAGCTGATGTTAATGCAGTTCAAATTGATATAGCACTTCTGGCCCTTTGTATAGAGAAGACTAATTAAAATAGTGTCATTATTTAAGTTTTGAAAAGGTAGGAAGTGCTAATAAGGAATCAACTAGATTCAGATGCAAACATTTCATTTTGTGCTATCCAGTAGCAACAGACACAATTTTACAATTTAGGCCTACTTAAAATTTAGGCTGGATCTATACTATCATGTAATCCAGTTTCAGAATGCATATTGATTGCATTGAATTGGATTATATGAGTCTATACTGCCCTATAATCCAGTTCAATGCTGTTAATCTGCCTTCTGAAACTGGATTATATAGCAGTGTAGATACAACCTTGGAAGAGCCTAATAATGAGAAGTCTCATATAGGACTATCTTAGAGCCCTTCTGGACAGGCTCTATATCCCAGGATATGATCTCAAGTTTTCTGCTTTAAACTGGATTATATGAGTCCACACTACCATATAGGGCATATAGGGCCTGTCTGGAAGGGCCCTAAAATATATTTCCCTTTCACTATTGCATGTATACATGTATGGAATAAATATTTCAATATTGTTAATCCAAACTTGTTCTGAAATTTACTGCCAAAACGTGGTTTGAATGTTGCTTCCACTGTGGTCTTTCAGGCTGTGCGCAAGCATTGTAGCCTTCAAACTGCTTATAAATGCATGATATTTTCTTAGTATATTTTCTTACTAGAATGTTGATGATTTCAAGAACAGCCTGTTTATTTTTGTTTTAAGTAGCTCACAAATTTATAAATGCAGATTTTTCTTCTCTGGAGACATTAAATTTTCTTAATGAACAAATGCTGAACACACATTCCCAGGATGATGCTATAGCAAATGCGGCTAATATAATCACATGCTATATTAGCAAATAATTAATGAGAGAGCAAGGGCTCGGCAACCAGAATTGATTACATGACTTCTGGGTTATAGTCTCTGATGGTATCCATTATTATAATATGAGATGAACCACTTCAATTTCAACAACAAAAACAACAAGCAAACTTTATGCATCTATTGAAGTACACCCAGTCTGCAAAAACCTTATGCTACAAACTGGTTTCTCTCACTTAGTCTGAAGTGTGCCCTTTGTGAAATCTGTGCAAAATTTTAATCATAATACAAGTCATAGAATTTGATCTTGGGAAGTTATCCACCAAGAAAAAGGCACCTATGCCCAGCAGAAAATGGGTGGACAATGTAAGTTAATTTACATTTTCAAGATTTCAATATTACATGTTTTCAGTGTGTGCTCCATAGCGAACTTTGATGCATGGAAAACTATGATTGGGATTGTGAGTATGTGTATACTACATGTATCTTGCCTGTAGTGGACAGACATGCAAATGCACACACGTGAATACTAAAGTGGTGGGCATGAACACACAGTACTAATGTTGCCAAACTTGCAAATGCCCCAAGAAAGCCACCTTTGTATCCAGACATCTCAGCAAAGGACTGAATTGTTTATAAATGGTGAACAGGATGCTGAAGGATGAGGCTTCCAGCTCCCCCCTGTCAATGAGCCTTGATGCACCAACAAGTTGTACTAGAAACTCACAAGAGGGGCTGCTTCTAGTTGTAGCTCATTCTGGCAGAAACAACTGGATGCATCATCCTCCAACATGACTCTCAGAAGTGTTCTAAACTGTGCTCCTTGGTGTGGTTGGCTGCATTTGAAGGTGATTTCAGATGTCTGATAGGAAGACAGATTATAGTAATAACATTGTGACTACTTGTGTAATTCAGCATTTCAAAGAGTTTTGTGAATAATCTATGTTTATTTTTGTACAAAATAATTTAGGGATGTGTGAATACAGAGAAGAACTGAGCAGAGATTTAATTTATTCATTTCCAAAAGTAGTACAAATTGCTCTGTATGATACAAATGAGGGTGCAACCAAAATGGAAGCCAGCATTTCAGCCAGAAAACAATGGCTCATTTGAAGCCAAAAAACAGATCCACCATCTAATCTTTGGCCATTTCCAGAAGTCAACGACTATTAAGCATTCAGTGCATTGCTTGCAGGAAATCCTGGAGATACAACTTGTGCAGTTTTCCATTATGAAATTAGAACATCTTGGGAAAGAAAACTCAGATCAACGGAAGCATAAATCTTCAGAAAATAAGCTCTGACATTTCAACCTTGTCACCAACGCCACAAGAGTACTCTACACATGGTGTTTCTACTGATACGCAGTCAAATATGTGAAATTACCAAGCATATGCTGTGGTATGTGTTTTTCCCCCTCTCTTTTGCTCAGGGAAATATGAAAAAATTAGACCTCTGCAAACTGTTGGTATCTGGCCAAAATACTATAAAATCAGTGTAAAACATTAGGAGTATGCAAAATAATGCCCTAGAAATAGCCAGTAGAATCTTTACCAAAGTCAAAGATAATATAGCCACTATCTGGAGCCCCACAGAAGTGTACAACCATTCAATTGATGGAGTAACAACAATACATAGCACTTTTCCTTGTCAGGCACAGCAGGAGGCTACTGGAGCGTTTCTGCATTTTGATGTCACAATCAATGTTATGCATGAGAACGACTGCTATGAGGCCCATTTCTCCTGACACCAAAAGCTATTATATATCCCTGAAGGCATGGACATATCAATATGAAAAGCAAAAAGGGAGTGGGTGCTAAATCAATGAGCTACTGAACAACACAATCCACACTTCACTTAAAGCAAAAGTCCCATGTCTGAATCCAATTCAGTGCCATCAAAGTCAATTGAAATGTTTAAGTTTAATTCACACTGACCTTACTAAACCTGGTCTTGAGCAAAAAGATTCTACTTTTCAGCATTTAAAAGTGCCTTAAACTTTGTGCTAGCAATCATCAGTATTTCCCCTTTCTGCAATTATTCTAAGGTGTCAGACGACGGCTAAAAATGTCCAGCCAATTGCTATTAAAAATGTCCTTCACAATGTTCTTGCAAAAAGGAGAACTCTTCATTTTCTTATGCAGCTTTTAAAAACTGGATGATTTGGGGAAATAATGAGATTATTTTTCTCTTTGCAGTCCCATTACTGATCATCTGAATGAATTCTCATGTTCATTTCCAAAAATAATGTTGGATCATATATGAACTGCATTGTCAATGCTACATATTGGAAGGAAATTGCCAAATGAATAACAACTGAAAATTAAGAAGGTGTTTTCTGTTTACATCAGGGATAGGAAACTCTGGCCATTCAGATTTTCTTGTCTTATAACTTCCAGGAACTCTAACCAAAAAAACCTGATATAGTTAAGACAGCGTGACAACTGCAACATCTTATAGGTTTTTGTCACTGATTGTGTCACTTGGGGATGACTGTCAATGAGGTCTCCAACAACACAATCCACAGTGCCATTAAAAACAATGGAAAAGAATCAGTATTTCTGTAAAAAATTGAATCTTTGTGGGTTTTCTACAGACAGGCAGGCTGGCCAGAGGAGAGAAAGAAAGCCACTCCTGCTGTAATGTGAGACAATCAGTTCCTTGCTAAGTTTCTGCTCAAGAAG